TTACGCAAACACAAATAACCAAATCAAAGAAAAGAACAGAATACATTCATGGTGTCTAATTCAAATGAAATATTTCTTCTCAGTTACAGATGCCATTGCATTTCTATTATATCCTGTTTCAAACACCACAGTCATCATGTGCATGCACTTTGTTGAAAAGAATGGAAAATACAAAAATATGTGTGCAGCATTCTGAAAGTGTAATATCTAACTTTAGGTGGTTATGAACATATTATTAACTTGTCTTTTTCATAAGAAATTATTTAAAACCTGTCTTCAATAATCAGCATTATGTGGCAGGAACTCTCTCTTCAGTTATGTACAGGACCACAATTTGAGGTACATAGAATCCTTAACTAAATTTTCATACTGTATTTCAGTCAGAAATGTCTATGAACTGAGTGATAAGAATCACATATATAAGACATCAGTTTTCAAAAACAAAGTTTCATGTGTCACACCATCCTTGGGGAGAAATGAAGAAATACCTTCACTACACCAAAGACTATTTTTTTTCAAACTCTTTGGAAAATTAACAATACTTATGATAATGAACATAAACTGTCTATCAGATATAAGTCTCTTAATTGTGAAGTACCTCTTTTTACCCAGAATGCTGACTTAATCTCCTTATATAATTATACAAAGTAAAATGTCATGATTTGAAGAGTCTTTCAAAAAGAAACAATGTCACATATATGTTTACTAGATATTAAATTAGTGATTGGCATTGGTATTTTGCAAGAAGACTCTGAACGGAAATGTTAATGAAAACACTGGTATGTTGACCATTTTGAAGTGGAAAGCCACACATACATCAAAATATCATCAGCACAAATCAGAGCAGATAGGTTAAAAAAAAGAAGTATGTGTGAGTGTGGGACTGTGTGTGTGTGTGTGTGTGTGTGTGTGTGTGTGTGTGTGTACTGGTTAAGAAGGAAAGAGGTGGTGAATCTGAGTGGACAAAGCAGCAATGCGTATTTCCTCCAAATTCACAGAACACTCAAGTAACTAAATTAAATATCTATAATTGTATAAAAGTCTAGACAATAAAATTTGAGGAATCCACAATTCAGAAAGTCATATTTCTTATGGTCATCTCTATTTACTTTTATATTTAATGTAGCAAAAGAAATCAGTCTCAGTAAAGAATTATGGGACATCTATGTGAGAACCACTGTTGAGTACGGAATCCCAAGAGAAAATATACGAGATATCCTCAAAATCAGTAAAAAAAATTGTGTTTCACAACTAGAATATTGATCTGAAATAAGATAAAATAATGAAATTTCTGCATTTCCATTTCTGTTGCTGAAAACCTGACATAAAAATTATTGAGTACACGAGTTACACTTTAACACTGTATATCTTATACTTCACAGACACCTGTCCTCAATGAAGATACTGATTTGGTGAGTTAATGTACAATAAATTCTTTGTCAGAACTCAATATAATAAACAAAAGAACCATTTCATGAAAATATTCTGTGTGGAGAAATAGGAACAAGTATATGATGGGAAAACTTTTGCAATAGTAAAAAAAAAAGAAACAATATCAGTACATATATAAAATAAAAACTGTACCTGAAATCATTTAGAAATTATCCCTACAGATTTTAAAGTTCATAGAGTTTTATAGTCTCTTTTATTTATTATTTTTGAGGTGTAAACAGAAAAATAAAATTGACTGAGGGACTGCAATCACTTCATTTCTAGGCAAAGTGAACAAATATCATGAGCAATGAATCATTAAATATTATGAACATATCAGATTAAGTCTTGAATATGCTACACAGACTGCACATAATAATTCACATTGTGAAAGGGATTTGAATTTATGAAACTTCCATATATATTTTTCTGTACTAAATTTTATTGTTTACATGAAAGATGCAAACTCCTGCACTTGAAAATAAGGTTTCTTATGTCTAAAATCATCAGAATTGTGCAAATATTAAATTAATCTAGTCCCTATGATCAAATTTCTGCTCAAAAATTCCATCATTCTAGACCTCATCTCTCAAACATGGATTTCTATATGTTCTATAAAACTTACTGTATCCATTTGCATTTAATATATTTCCATTGATGTTTCTAATTTGAAATTTGTAATTTCACAGGTTTCAAGATTGATATGACTTGCAACATATCTGTCCATGGCATCTAATTCACAAATTTGAAGGTGGACCCATCTTTCTTTCCCAATTGTGCATTCACCTCTCTCGTGTAGTTCAGATTCTTCACACTGTTCTTTCCTCAAGTTTCTTTCCTTGCCCTGTTTAGTCGAATTTTCTTTCTTTGTGAATGAGTGAATAAATTTCATCTTCTGCATAAACTTTTAAAAATTTTAAAAGTTTATCTTATTTGGATCTTCAGTATGGGACTCATTTCTTTTATGAATATGTGTATAGAGTGTGTGTGAATGGCAATGTTTGTACAGTCTTTGTATGTATCTATATCAAGGTCTTTGTGTGCAGAACAAGTATAAAATCTGGTTTTGAGTTCTTCCTATCCACTTTCATCTGGGTGGAAGGCAACAAAATCAGATTGACAAACTTAAGAATCCAAAGCTTTGCTGGGCACTTTTAGCACATGCCTTTAATCCCAGCACTCAGAAGTCCGAACCAGGTGCATCTCTGTGAGTTTGATGCCAGCCTGGTCTACAGAGTGAGATCCAGGACAGGCACCAAAACATCACTGAGAAACCCTGTCCTGAAAAACAAACAAAAAACCAAACAAACATCCAAACCTTTACACACTGGACAATCTTATTGGTCTTATGTCACATTTTAATTGAAACAAATTTTCTGACTATCACATCCATACACAATATTGGCTGCACTTCAATATCTACATGGAAAAGTGGGTATGTGTGTTGTGGGGGGTGAGTGTGAAGTTCATATCAAATGAACTTCCAAACTTAAAAATGCTGACTTATAAAGAGTTTAAATCAAAATATAAATCAATTTGAAGGCTTAGTGCCAAGCACCAATGGAATAAAGCCTTCTGATTTGATCCAACAAAACACGATGTGTGTTCCATAAACACATTATGAAAGATCTTGTAACCATGACAATTAAATGGATTGGAGTAAAAATATTCAAAACAGGAGTCATGGGTTGTACCTAGGGTCTAATACCTCCAAGGTAATGAGCTGTATCTGAGGATTACACAACCTGACGTGTATATATTCCTGGAGAACTGGCCTCAAATCCAATATAGAAAAATCTATATTTTTCTATAGTAAAAATTATATGATAAAATTCAAATATTCAAAACTGAGTGCATCTTGTCAGGGGCGACTGTAGTAGCATTCAGGATCAAGTGCTAAGTAATACCACTGATTTCTTTCCTACTCTTATGTAATGTTTTACACCTTCTAGTGTGATGTTATCTAGCAATCCCATGGTTGTCTATTAACTTTGTTCATTTATGTTTAGTTTGGGGCCAATATCTACTTACCTTCCTTCCCACAGACACCCCCACTTATGTGTAAAATTTCAGTAGATGTTTATCTACTACACTTTCTTATCTGTTGTGTACAACTATGTCCATTAACTGAATGAATTTTGTGGTGTAATGATGGTAGATTTTCTTAACTATCCCTCATACATTCAATATGTTGCTTAATTCATCAATGGACATCTCATTTTTCCTCTCACATTGCTAATTCAACACTCTACTCCTGTATTTTATTTTCAAATGCCAAAGTTATCCTTTGTCTACTGTTCACTATTCTGTAAGCTACTTACCCAGAGTGGGCAGTTTCTAGACGAGACTCATTTTAACTCCATATTAAATATTCAAAATAAATATATTGAAAGCTAGTGTCTACATATGAGACTTTTTTTAAAGATTTATTTATTTATTTTGTATACAGCATGTATGACTACAGGTCAGAAGAGGACACCAGATCTCATTACAGATGGTTGTGAGTCACCATGTGGTTGCTGGGAATTGAACTCAGGACCTTTGGAAGAACAGTCAGTGCTCTTAACCTGTGAGCCATCTCTCCAGCCCTACATATGAGACTTTTATCCAAATTAAAAAAAAAAACTTATTTAGAGTAGCTCACAAGTCCATATTCAAGGACTCAATATTCTTATTTGGGTTTCAACAAATAACAATTTCAAACAGAAAATTTAATTTGATATGTCAATGATTATGGTCAATCTTCTGAATCCATTAATTTTAACTGCTATTTTTAATTACATGTCATTTGTTAAGAGTACACAATCTCAAAAGCATTTGGCTATGTATACCTTACAATCTTGACTCAGCCTACAGGAAATCAAGTAATAAAGAAATTTCATAAGGACCCTCTGAAAGGCATGTATGGAATCACACTACAATCTTGGGTACTATTTTTATTGATCCACGGAATGTTGAGAAAATTAACCAACTTCAAGAGAAATAACCACCATCTTTATCCAGTTTCTGACATGAGCCCTCCTATAAGTCCTCAGAAAAAGAACTCTTTTGAAACCTCTTTGAGGACCTCAATACAAACGTTTTGTAGTTTTTTATTTTGGTCATTTGTATTCACATCAATTTAAATGAAAGCATTCATGGTACAGTGTTGTGTAAAT